ACAGGAACTGTTTTGCTCATGGCTCCCCGGGAGCCAGACACGTGCCAGGCACAGAGGAAACATTGAGGGACTTTCTAGGGGAGTCTGGGATGCTGCACTGGTTTTTGAGAACTGGAGAGAATTTTCGCCTCTGTCCTCCGACACGTGTGCTCTCACTGGCTCTGTGAATCTGAAAACAATCACACCAGAACCCCTGAAGCTACTTGCTTCCTGCAGCCAAAATGTCTCGAAGACGAGGCAGAGGGGAGAGAGAGGCAAAGGGAAAGAGAGGGAGGGAAGGACACTTGGAGAATCATCCATGCCCATACGTATAAAGCTATATTAAGCCAGATTTACCCAAGACTGGTCCCAAAATCAGACATTCATCTTCTCTCTCTCCACCGCGTCTAGGAGGTTAAGAGACTGATTTTGTTCGGTGTTTCTTCAGGCTCAACACACCTCTGACCTCTGACCTCTGTTGCCTTGTCATCGGTCCCAGGACAGGCCTGTACTGTCTCATCCAGGTTAGAAGGTGATAGTTGCTATCAATCATGCCCTTAAGGGGAAAGCTGGCCGCTAATGTCAAAGTTGGCTAAGGACCATGGCTGTCCAAAGCAGGTGTGGCCATGGTGGGGAGGGCATGACACAGTCGAGCATTCCTAAGTTCTTCCACGACACACACTGTAGCTCCTGACCATAGTCACCAAGTACAATTCTACGGCCCTTTCGCGTTCTACTTGGTGGCAATGCAAGGAGGAAGGAGCTGGAGGCCGGGTAAGGAAAACCCCCTCGGGTGCCTTATCTGTAGTGATGTAGAGTCTAACAAACACACTGACAAAAAGCAGACACGTAGCATTTGGTCAACATGGAGCAACCCAGTCCCTCTCCATGAAGAAAGCCATGCCCCTGGGCATGGTGGCGTGCTGGCACACAACCCAGCACTCAGAAGCAAAAGCAGAATGAATAAAAGTTAAAAGCCACTTTCTACCCCAGTGGCCACCCGGGCTGGACTTATGATGAATCTATGTTCTTCTCTAGCCATGCCTTTCTCTAAAAACAAAACAAAAACTGCTTATTAGAAGACTTTCCCAAAGCAAATAAATTACCTTTCAATTGTTAAGAAAATAAGAAGAATTAAAAGCCAGCCTGGGATACAGGGGAGAACGTGTGTTTGTGTTTGTGTGTATGAGAGAGAGAGAGACAGAGACAGAGAGACAGAGATAAAGAGACAGGCAGGCAGGCAGGAAGACAGAGACAGAAACAGAGAGACAGGCAGGCAGGCAGAGAGAGAGAGACAGAAACAGAGAGACAGGCAGGCAGGCAGAGAGAGAGAGACAGAGACAGAAACAGAGAGGCAGGCAGGCAGGCAGAGACAGAGACAGTGGCAGAGAGAGGGAGAGAGAGACAGAGACAGAGAGACAGTCAGGCAGAGACAGAAACAGAGAGACAGGCAGGCAGGAAGACAGAGACAGAGACAGAGAGGCAGGCAGGCAGGCAGGAAGACAGAGACAGAGACAGAGAGGCAGGCAGGCAGGCAGGAAGACAGAGACAGAGACAGAGAGGCAGGCAGGCAGGCAGGAAGACAGAGACAGAGACAGAGAGGCAGGCAGGCAGGCAGAGACAGAAACAGAGAGACAGGCAGGCAGAGAGAGACAGAAACAGAGAGACAGGCAGGCAGGCAGAGAGACAGAGAGAGGGAGAGAGGGAGGGAGGGAAGCAGTACAAGGACAAGGGTGTGCGCAAGCCATGGGAGATCTGAAGGTTAAAATCCAGGGAGAGCCCACCCCCACCAAGGCACTATGGCGTATGGCGGCCACACACAGCAGGCACTATGGCGTATGGCGGCCACACACAGCAGGCCTGCCATGGAAAAGGAAAGTGTAATCTAGATTAAATCCCCTTCCGCATCCATACCCACATCTACTGGCTAAGATCAGAGACTTTAAGACCCAGAAAATTTCAAATAACATTTTATCATCATACCTTCCACTACCATCCGTGCAGGCTCGGCTACATGCACCCTCTGCTGCGGAGTCCAGTTCAGGACCTCCCCGGAGAGAATGTTGCACGGCGTCCTCTGCTTGTGAATTCTGATGTGAGCATCATCCATGACCATGGGGTACAACAATGGCTCTGGAGATAGGGCTCTTGCCTTACCTAAGTCTCAAGGTTTAAAATGCCTGCTACAAGACAACCAGTGTTAAAAATGGTTCTCCCTGGGCAAACATACAAGACTTCCTATTTTTCACATCATTGCATTTATTTGTGCATGCAGTATGCATGTACACATGTACTCATGGAGGCCAAAGGTCAGCATTAGGTATCTTCTATTGTTCTCTACACTTAAAAAATCATTGTGTGTGTGTGTGTGTGTGTGTGTGTGTGTGTCCCACATGCATGCAGTGCCCTTGGAAGCTACAGAGCATCAGATCCCTGGGACTGGAGTTACAGATGGCTGTGAACTGCCATGTAGGTGCTGGGAATGGAATCAGGATCCTGTGATGTTCTTAAGCACTGAGCCTTATCTCCAGGCTCTCTAACTTATTTTTTTTTTTTTTTTGGTTTTTTTTTTTTTAAATTTTATTTAATTTTATATAACAGTCCAATTAAATGAAAACAAACATTTATACACAATATTTGGGAATTTGGGCGTCATTCTTTCCAAGCTACTTCCTGCTGGTAAGGGGCGCTGTCTTGGGGGATTCGAAGAAGATTCAGATATCCTGGCTGGAGTCTGTAGGGCTGTTTTGTCCAGCTTCTAACTTACTTTTTGAGATAAAGTCTTCCTTCCATTGCTCATTGAGCACACAGATCTAGCTAGATGAGCTTGTCTACCAAGCTCCCAGATCTTGTCTCTGCCTCCCCAGTGCTGGGATTACACATATGCGCCACCATGTCCAGCTTTTTCGGGAGTGCTAGGCATCCAGACTCATAGCTGTGTGGCAAACACTTTACTGAGCTGACACTCCAGCCATCATTCATTTTCAGCATATATTTTTTCCTTCCTGGAACCCCCATAAGGACTCTTCATGTTTGTGAAATATGATTGATTTGTCTTGTACTCCTCAGTTCCAGTCAGAGACTGATGACTCATCTCCTACAAGAGTCTGGGAGGTGACATCAAGAAGCCAGAGGAGGGGAGATGGTTCAGCCATTAAGATAATTGTTCTCTCCAAAGGACCTGGGTTTGGTTCCCAGCACGCACATGGTGGCTCACAACCAGGTAACTCCAGTTCCAGGGGCTCTGAAGTCTTCAGGTCATCTCAGGCACTTGGCATACACATGGTGCACATGCATGCAGGCAAAGCATTCAAACACATAAAGAATAATTTTTGTAAGGAAGTAAAAAGGAAACATAACAACAAAAGGAGACAAGGAGTAAGTTCAAGGCAGTGAATGAAACCAGGACTCGGCAGCCTACAGAAGTCACACAAACCCCAGACGAGGCTGCAATCTCTCTCCTGTGAGCACTTTTCTCCAGCCCATGTTTCCAGGTTCTTCAAGCTTTGTAAGTTACTATGTGAAGCCTCAAAAGTATACCCCCAGCTTTCTAACTCAGGGGTCTGCATTTTCTGTGCACCAACAGCAGTTCAGCCCCAGACTGAAACCTCTTAAACACCTGAAGACTTCGTCAGTCCCTGCAGTCCTAGCGAACCATGGGAATCATTCCCTTTTTCCAAGCATAGATCCCAGGAAATAATGATTCACAGACTCTACTCTACAGTAGCTTGGGTACCATGGCAACGGGGCACCACATCTGGAGCAGACGGTACCATACATTGCCTGTCACATGGTGCCTCTTCTGGCAGATCTGGTCATCTAACCAGAGAGGCCTGCCTATGTGCAACCAGCATGACATAGCACCTGTTAACTATTTATATGGTGCTAAATAAGCCCACAGCCAGCAGACGGCAGAGCCAGCTGAGGTGCCAGGAGAGAGGGAGGTGGGTCTGGACAGAGTCCAAAGCAGGGGCATGCAGAAGTCAAAACATGACACTTGTGTTGCCTGGCTTCTGGGCAAGGCTGGGGACACACTGATGAGAGCACACTGACATAAGACAGCTTGGGGCAGTGCCCATCCTCCTCCAGAGAAAGTGACAGCAGCCCCTGCTGGAGGCCCTGCTGACAGGCCAGCCACCTTCAGCAATTCAGCCATCTTAGTCTTTGGTGATACGGTGCTGCCTGGTCAAGTTGATGGAGAGGTACATGGAAGCCAAGCCAAACTGTCACCGCAAGGCAAGGCCAGAACACCATAGCGAAAGCCTGAGCCAAGCTGATGTAGAGATGGGAGGTCCATGGAGCAGGGGCTGTGTCTTCGTCAAAACACCCTCCCCTCCCTGTGGTTCAGGATTTGGTACCCAACAAGCAACCAGAGGCATCTGTTGGAACCAACTGAGTTTGTGACGCATATTCAGCAGTGACCTTTGCCAGTGACTGGGATTAGAGGGGAGGGTGTTTTGGAGACCGGATGCTGGATAATAAAACATTTTGTGAAACATCCTGAGCTCCAGTAACACCAGTGAGACTCTGACGTAGTTAGTCCAGGGTGATAAACGGGTGTTTCATTTCCTGCTTTAGAATTCTTTCCAGTCACAAGACCCTTGGGTGTCTCCCAGGCCCATGGACAAAGTTTGAACAGGAATGATATGCATGCCTTTCCATGTGGGCAACAGTGTTTCTCCACTAAGAGAATGGTATTTCAACAAAGAGTATGTATGGTTGGTGTCTTCTTTCCTTTTCCTCCTCCTCCTTCCCCACCTTCTTCCCCTTCTCCTCTACTTCCTCCTCCCCACTTCCTCTCCCCCACTCCCCACCCCCACCCCCAGGGTTTCTTCTCACCAGTGAGGCTTTTGGAGAGTTGCAAGAATCAAGAAGCCAGAAGTCACCCTAGCTCCCACATCTAATTCCAAGTCAAAACACCATTAGAAGCTACAGGCTACGGAGTCAGACACGACGATTAGAATACAGTTTACATTTCCACATTTATGGAGGACCTCAAAAAAAGGGCTGACAACCCCCAAGACAACCGGGATGCAGAATCAGATATGCTGAGCATCCTGGGCAATGCTGCAATTACCGAATGGCTGGGACATACAGCCCGAAATCAAAGGCAAAAGGGTTGTTCTGAAAATAGAGCTGCAGGAAGCCTAGGAAAATGTTCTTATCAATGAGCAGGGCACAGACTGTGGGGTCCTGCTTCATGGTGGCTATCCAGAGCCGCAGCATTGGGGTGTGGTTCACGCAGCTGCAAGACAGAAAAAGGAGAGGGTTGGCCGAGGTGGTGTTCATTACTTTATAGATTTGGGAAATACGGTAAGCTTAGTTACTACCCAGGATACATGGTCTTCCCTGAGGAAAAGGCTTACTCGGAGCTGCGTGTCCAACTGTTGACACTGTTACAATGGCTTCTGTGAAGGTCATGAGATGCTTGTGAGCTGAGGTGGGAGGTGGAGGAGATAAGGATCTTCGATTCATTGCTGACTGACTGGCCAACACACGCCCAAACTAACAGTCTTAGGCCATTTGCAGTTTTTACTTTGGGGGCTTGGAAAAGGAGAGCTGTTTCCCAAACACTTTTTACAATAAATAAAACAATCATGACATCTTTAAGTACAGGCCTTTTCAAAGACAGACAGGAGAAGTCGGGTCTAGGGTCTGCAGGGTGATAAACTGAGATAAGAGAGATGGGACCATAATCTGGGGTTTACCACTCTGCTTTGGAGGAAAACAGGTCTTTTATAACTTACCTATGCGTTTAAATATCCAGTCACCTTAGGTCTGATCTGAAGAATTACTTTTCAAATACTAGAAGTGTATGGCATGCCTCATGTGGCTAGCAGAGATCTGAGTCGGCTGCAGTTCACAAGTCCAGTGTCACCTCTGAGCTTTGAGGTGACAAAGCTTTAAATAGCCCTGCCACACTTTAAATATATTTTTTAAAAAAAAGTGTGACGGCTCCATGATATATGGTTGCCATTTGTTTATATGAAGGTTATGCATGCATTGCTTTAGAAACCTTCTGGTTTTTAAAGGGCGTTCCTGTTGGGGGAATGTGAGATGGGGCTCAGGTGTGTGGCATGTGCTGTGACTCAGCAGGACCAGGTGTGCGGCCGTGGAGGGAGCTACAGGTTATTTTGCCGTCTGTGAATACACAGGGGACAATGGGCTCTGAAGCATTTTTGCACACGGAGCCTTATCCACAGAGAAGAAGGTAAGATATGGGCCCATCCTTTGTGGGAAGAGCACAGGTGCATTTTGGACAAGGAAGCATGCAGGAGTGGCTGCCAGCCCTGATTTTTTGTTTCACAAACATCCTGAGACAGTCCCCCAGGGTAGTTAGTGATACCCAGAGCATCTCAACAGTTGGCACTCAGTAGATTGGCAATCACACAGTCAAATGTCTTACTCAGCTAGTCCATATACATCCAGACGCTCAAACCAGGGCCAGAAGAGGTAATCAATCATGGATATACGGTCTCCACCAAAGAATGTGATGTTCTGATATTCAAGAACCTGGAAATATACACAGAACAATAGCCGGTTAATTTGCACATTTGTTGACATGATTACTGATGCTAAATAAAAATTGCCAGCTTAATTGCAAGGAAGCAGAGCTAGCTTGCCAGTGTTCTATTTTCAAGAGATGGCTTCCCCCCTCCACCGTGTTGTCCTAACTGCTCTAGAACCATAGTCTTGGCCACATTCTGTTCTCTGTCTCCCTCCAACACTGGACAAACAGCATGGCTCATCTGACTGAGAATTTGGAAAGAGCAACGCAGGCAGAAGTGGCCCAGCCCTTTCCTCGGCCCGGGGACAGGCTCTTCCTAGTTCTAGGCTGTCTCCAGATCATCTCAACTTGAAGCTGGGACACTGTGCCTTAGGCCAGCATTGCCCATTCCCCAGGGACATGAAGAGTCTGAGCTTTTTGCTAAACACCAGCATTAGAACCGAACCCCATTTGCTGTAATTGTGACCTGTCTCCCACATACTCTTTATGCTGAAAGGGGATGCTGCAGTCTCCATTGCTCTTTTTCTGCCTTCTGGAAGGGTCCCCAGCTAAGGCTGTTCAGTGGGGTCCCTTTAATCCCACTTTCTCCTTTTATTCAAACACTTCAAACCTATTCTACTCATCATCATCAACATTCTACAATAAAATTAAAAAAAAAATTCTTCCTCAAATGGGATAAATCAACGCACATATGTGACCTGTAAGGAAAAACACTTGCAAAACAGACCATTGCCAGACGGCGACAAGAAAGCACCTGAAATTTTCCCAATGCAAAGGTAGTTACCGCTGAACCACATTTTCCCAAAGAGAACAGCCAAGCTCTGCTCACACCGACCTACACAGCATACAACCCACTCCTGCTGCCAGTGGAGACTGCTGGGCCTGGACAGTTGAGGAAAGAAGTTACGTTCATATTTCTTAGATTTGGAGACCCTGCTGAAGGACAGAACTTCACAAAGAAGCAAACTGTAAATTCAGGGCTGGCGGATGGCTCAGAAGATAAAGGGCTTGCCACACAAGCCTAAGGAGTTAAATCTGGCCCTCAGTAGCCATGTATGTAGAAAAGGCTGGCGTGGAGGCGCACACATGTTCTCGGCAGTGTTGAGGAGGTGGAGACAGGTGGATCTTCCCGAGTCCCTGACAGAGGGCTAACTGAATCAGCGAGCACCAAGCCAGTGAGGACCCTATTTCAAAACACTCAAGGTAGATGTCACTGAGCAGAAATGGCGCCCAAAGCTAGGCACACTCCAATTGTGCTGGCTCTCTTAGCTGTGGTGTGGTTGTGGCTTTGTACTAAAGATCTGATCATTGTCCTGAAAGTCTGGAAAAAGTATTAGGTGGCATCAAGAAGCAAACAGGACGGTACTGTGTCAAGTGTCTGAACAATGGGAAGGGGCTCCGATGCCTGTTTCAGCCATGGACTAGCGAGACCTGGCTTAGAGGGTGTGGCCTCTGAGTGAGAAGGGCCCCCCCCATAGGCGCATGTCTGAATACCTGGTCCCCAGACGGCAGAACTGTTTAGGAGTGACCAGGAGGTATTGTCTTGATGGAGATGTGTCACAGGGGTGGGCTTTGAGACCAAAACCCTCACACCATTTCCAGTAAGCTCTCTGCTTCCTGTTAGTGGACTGAGATGTGAGCTCCCGGCTGCCGCTCCAGCGCCATGCCTGAATCACCAAATAAACCCTTCCACATCGCCTTGCTCATCGTGTTTTATCACATCCACAGAAAAGTAACTAAGACGGGGATGGGGGGAGGGGGAAACAAAAAGAAGGCTCTAAACTGCCTTGATGTTCGGCACAGCTGAAGCCTGCCCCAAACTCTTAGTAGCCTGGGCTTGCTTCCTGTCTAGTCACTGCTTCGTGACCACAGATGTGAGCAGGCAGCCTCTACAGCTGCGAACTGCTTCTGCCACCATAGCTTGCCTGCCATGATTGACAGGACCCTTAAATCATAAGCCCTGCCCTCCTAAGACGCTCCTTGTCACTAATATCACTAGTGGACAGGGCAAGTCTAACACTCCCCTCACCGTGGATTTCTTTACAGATGCCTCCAGGTGACACAGGGCACCCTGGCCGGCCCTCTCCCCCACCCCCCAAAGATCTGCAGCTGTCTTTAAGATCTTCAATAAGGTACTCCCTTCGATGCTAATCTGGTACCTCTCAGACACACAATGTTGCTCTGCTCTTAGAATCCCAGATACTGTGGTGGGGAGATCCCGAAAAGGGGAATTTGGTGTTTAAAAGAATCTACTTTAAAATCTTCTGAGGTTGGAGAGATGGATCAGTGGGTAAATGTGATATGAGTTCAAATCCTAAAAACCCAGGTAAAAATAAACATACAAACAAGACCAGGTATAGCCAGATAGAGTAATAAGACCTCTGTAATCCCTGCACTCCAGGGAACCTTGTAGGGAGACCCTGACTAAGCAGAGAAAAACTAACAGAGACCCTTGCCTCAGACAAGATGCTGAGAGTCAACGCCAGAGGTTTTCCTCTGACCACCACGTGTGCCTCTGCTTTCACACCACACACCACACACACACACACACACACACACACACACACACACACACACTTTATACATATACACAATGATGACCAAAAATATAAATGTTTAAAATTTTTTAAATAGTAATACAAGATTTGTTCTCATTCCCCAGTCACTGAAAAGGAAGACTAGAAGGCATGCGTGACTGGTGGCAGCAAGGGAGGGCTGTTTGGTTTAGTGAAGATGCTGTATTTCCCACTCAGGAACCAGGGAGCTCTCGGGCTCCCCCTGGAGGGATAAAGGAGGAACATCAGCAGGGAACACAAATGGAGGAAGTGTGTGGGATTCCCCCTGGTGGCCATTGGTGGTGTATCACAGTGGCCAGGACTCCCTCTCTAAGACAGGGGGGGAAAAAAAAAATCTTCAAGGCCTTTAAGAAAGAAGTGTTACAGAACCAGGGGAACTTACTGTTTGGGACCATGTAGCACCCAAATTTTAGTAACAGAAGAGTGATTTTAAAAGGCTAATTCCAGACTTCTTCAGATCATGAATTCTAAAAAGTCCAGGATAAGATCTTTAACCCTTGCGAAGGCCACCTGCATTACACTGCCATAGGCCATCACTAAGAAATCCTTGAGAGACAGAGAGAGAGATCCAGTGATACCACTACTGGGTGTATACCTAAAGGATGCACACTCACACCACAAGGACATTTGCTCAACTATGTTCACAGCAGCTTCATTCGTAATAGCAAAAACCTGGAAACAATGTAGATGCCCCTCAACTGAAGAATGGATAAAGAAAATGTGATACATTTACCCAATGGAATATTAATCAGCAGTAAAAAAAAAAAAAACAAAGACATCATGAAATTTGCAGGCAAATAGATGGAACTAGAAAGAAAAAAAAAAAAATTCCTGAGGAAACCCAGACCCAGAAAGACAAACATGGTATGTACTCACTCATAAGTGGATATTAGATGTAGAGCAAAGGATGACCAGATTACAATCCACAACCCCAGAGAAGCTAGTAAACAAGGAAGACCCTAAGAGGGACGTGCATGGAGAGCCCTGGGGAGGGGAGATGGTTAAGATCTGGGTAAACCGGGAGGGGAGTAGAAGGGAGGGGTAGGGGATGAGACTATGAGGAATCAAAATGGCCAAATGTGGGAGGGACAGAGAGATCTTGATAGAGGGAGCCATTATGGAGTTAGGGAGAACCCTGGTGCTAGGGAAATTCTCAGGAATCCACAAGGATGACTCCAGCAAGACTCCTAGCAACAGTGGAGAGTTGCTAGGCCTTCCCTTTAATCAGAGTAGTGGCCACCATAATTGTCATCATAGAACCTATTACAGCCAGGAACTGATGGAAGCAGATGCAATGACCACAGCCAAGCCCTGTGCTGAGCTCCTGGAGTTGAGTTGAAGAGAGGGAGGAGGGGTCATATGAGCAAGGGGAGGTCAAGGTCATGATTGGGAAAACCACAGAGAGAGCTGACCCAAGCTATTGGGAACTCACTGACTCTGGACTGACGGCTGGGGAACCTGCACGGGACCAAAGTAGGCCCTCTTAATGTGGGTGACACTTATGTGACTCCATCTGTTTGGGGGTGCCAGCTGGCAGTGAGACCAGGACTTATCCTGGGTGCATGGACTTTTTGGAGCCCACTCCTATGGTGGGATGCCTTGTTAAGCCTTGATACGGAGGCCAAGGGCTTGGTCATACCTGAACTGGGTATGCCAGACTTTGTTGACTCCCCAAGGGAGACCTTACCCCGAGAGGTGGATGGGAGGTGAGAAGGGGAGATAGGTGGCAGAAAGGGAGGAAGAGGGAACTGGGATTGGTATGTAAAATGAAAAAAAAATGTAAATAAAAAATACCCACTTGAAGTGTGTGGTGATCCATAGCCACCCAAACCCCATACGGTAAAAAGACACACACACACACTCACACACTCACACACTCACACTCTCACACACACACCCACAGAGAGAGAGAGAGAGAGAGAGAGAGAGAGAGAGAATTAGCTTATTTCTCCCTCAGAAAAACCATGTGTGTTAATAGCATTTTAGTCCACACAAAATCCTGCTTGTAAAACCAACATGAAGGATGTGGTGATCCACGCCTGTAATCCCAGCATACTGGAGGCAAAGGCAGACAGATTTCTTTGAGTTCAAGTGCAGCCTGGTCTATATGACAAGTTCCATGACAGCTGGGGCCTCACAGCAAGACCCTATCTAAGAAACAAACAAAACAAAACAAAAAACAAACCAAAAAATGGAGGAAAACGTTCATGTGAATTACGGGGCATTTCTGTCAGATTATTTGGTATGTTTTAATTTCACTAGACCCCCTAGACTGTGTGCTCTAGGCCCTGGAATCTGTATATTACTATTTGGAGGAACTGCTCTTAGAGTTCACGTACACTGGCTGTTTGAGGCTCTGATGTCTAGTGTTGTTCCTAACCCTGGGAGACAAAGCTCCCACCCAAACCCACCGAAACAAAGCTGAACACTCAGCTCAGCTCAGCGGTCCTCACATGCATGGGTGACAGAGGCAAGGCTCTGAGGCCCTGACTAAAGACAAAGTGAAAAGTATTGCTCGGTGACACTGGAGCTGGCCACACCTCTTCCGGAGAAGCAGCACCTTGGAACCAGCCTTGCTGGGAGGGTTTTCCCCACTGTAATGGGCAAACATTAGGACTCTGGATTTTGGTTCGTTTTTTGTTGTGTTGTGTTGTGTTTTGTTTTGTTTTATTTTTTTCAGGGAGTATTGTGGCTCTCTCATCACCACCACCCTGCTGGCTCCACGTTCCCACCGTTTCTGTTAACATCGCCAGCTAGCTAGTTACTCCACATGGACTTCCTGGATCAAGGAGCAATTCCTTTGGTGGGGGAGGGGGAGAGGCTTCTGTCTGTGATCTGCCTTGTACCCTGAGCCTTTGCTATCACACACAACAGCTCTCTCTCCCGTGTGTCTCCAGCCTAGCACTCTACATTCTTGCTGTTAGTATTCAGGCATCCGTACAGGCCCGTCCTTGGGGTTCTGACAGGAACCTCAGCTGCAGCCACTAAGAGCACCACCTGTGCACGTTCACTGTGTTCCCTTTTAAAAGGCCCTGCCCACCTCCTTTCTCTTTCTCCCTGTCCCCTCTGCCCCCCCTTTTCTCTTCTGCTGCTCCTGTCCCCAGAGGCCAGTCTCCCCTCTCCCGACCTGTTTCCCATTCACTTTACTCAAAAAACAAAACAAAACAAAAAGCCTCTACCCAAGCCCTTTCTCATGGCCAGTTTTTCTGGGCCGCTTTTTAGAAATTGCAACACTTGTTTCACAATGAGCTTGACGTTGACCTCCATTTCTGCCCCCGAGCCTCTGGACATCTTTGTTTGCATTCCTAGTTAGTTCACAGCTACTCTGACTTGCTGGAGTGCCTTTAGCCAGACCGGACGCTGTGAGGAGTGAGTGTACGCAAAGCACCATAGTGTGTGGCACAAGCTTCTGGCTTAACTGTCCTGAGAGAGAGCCCCAGCTGAAGAGAAGAGCCACGCCTGCATCCTGACTCCCTGGCTTCATGCAAAAGGGCAGCAAGAACAACCAAAATGCACTTTAGCGACCCTTGAATTCAGGGTTTGTTTTCAGCTCCGTAATCTAACCCAGGCCTCATGTATCATGAGAAAGGAACCAGACAGCATGGGATTAGTTCAGATGCTTGTGTGTGTGTGTGTGTGTGTGTGTGTGTGTGAGAGAGAGAGAGAGGGGGGGGGGAGGAAGAGACAGAGAGAGAGATTAGCTGGGTGTGATAACACACACACTTTCAATCCCAGCATTTGGAAGGCAAAGACTGGCAGATCTCCATGAGTTCAAGGGCTACATAGTGAGAACCTGCCTTAGAAACAAACAATAGCAACCACCACCAAACACAGAGACATTAAAAATTCTCTATTCAGAGAAGTTTCAACCACTTCTTTTAAAGCTGCCTCTTCCTGGACAAAGACTCTTAGCAGATAACTTCTTCAACACTGTAATCAAAGGCAGCGTTGGTGTGGATGAACAGTTCTGGAACCATCCCCCATGATTCCTGTTGCCCAAGGCTCTGGAGTCCAGCAAAGCCACCCCTAAAATCATGATCCCCACCATCCATTGCCTCCTCGGGGTCACTGGAGTCTAAGACCTCAGGACTAAAGTTAGCATTTCTTATTATTCATCTTCCAAAAACACTGCAACTGTACAACTCCAAAACAGGAAACAAAGTGTAAATATAATCTGGTTTTAGTTGGTGAAGTCAAATTGAAAAATATTAATAATCAGTCTTCTTGGTTTTTGGGGTTTTTTTGTTTTGTTTTGTTTTGTTTGTTTTATTTTTATTTTTTCGAGGTAGGGTTTCTCAGAGACTCTCCTGGAACTAGCTCTTGTAGACCAGGCTGGTCTCGAAATCACAGAAATCTGCCTGCTTCTGCCTCCCGAGTGCTGGGTTTAAAAAAGTATGCCACCGCCGCCCGGCTTAGACTTCTTTTAGAGATAAAGATAGTTATTTTGGCTGTCAACAGGTGAGCAACCTCACACACAAAAAGAATTCACTGGTTTCTAGACCAAAGGTAAAGAAAGACCCACAGAGTACATTCAGGGTGGGCTGGGTTAGGGGGCTCCATTACCACCCTGGTACAGCAACTCTACCAGTAAAGACTGTTCCCGCATCCACACGCACCTTCCATTTCTAAAATGCACAAAACTGATTTTATTCGGGGTATCTCAACTGAAAGATTAATTCCCCAGCCTCCTCTCAACTAAAAGATAAATCTCCCAGCCTCTTCTGCTGATAGTCACGACCTGACAACTAAATTCTGGCCACTGAGAAGTATAAACAGTCATTGGATTTCTGGGTGAGTCCTTTAAGAGGTCCAGCATTTGCCACTTTTCTCTTCCATTCTCTTCACTACAGCCCGAGAGGAAGATGAGGGCAGAAAATCCAGTAGCCATCTTGTTTTTAAGGATGAAAACCTTGCACTAAACGTGACAGAACAGAAAGATGCCCCTCAGTCCCTGATAACTTCATGAGGAAGCATGGGAACAGCCATGGACTGCCCCCCTCTGGCTTCGTAATATGAGAGAATAAGCCATCATCAGACAAGCCTTCAGCAGTCAGGGCCTGCACAGCCACTAACCAATACCTCAGCCTCATTGGGAGAGAATCTCAGGGAACAACACAATGCCAGGAAAGGACACACTCATTGTTCACCCTCAACAACTTTTCAAGAACTACTCCAAAGCAGGTCAGGGATGCAAGCATCTGCAGGCCACATCAGATGACTGGGAAGGGACCACATCAAAGCTTGGCAGAAAGTCTGAGAGCAGGTGGTGTCAGGGTATTTAGGTTAGAGACACCGCACGTGGCTTGGTCCATGGCCTCTGATGGGGAAGATGTTCCTGCGTACCTGTTCCAGGTTGCGGAACTCCTGACGCAGGGCAGTCTTCAGATCCATACATTGTCTCCCGGACCTCATTGCTACCAGACATTCCTTGGATAAGTGTGGGATCTAGTCAGAGGACACAGGTGCTTAGTGGAGGTGTTTGTGAACACTGTCCCCACGCTGACTGAAATGCACTGGAGCTTCCCAGCCCCAGCACAGGAGGACTTGGCCACAGGCAGATAGATGTCCCTGTCCTTGGCCAGAGGCTCTGGGCTATCTCTGTGCTTCCAGGAACCATTTCTCACAGCAGTTGATCAAGCATTGGGCCTTAGCGGGTTGCTCAGTGCACACAGCTTGATCACCTAGTCCCATGCTGTACACTCTGTGGAGGTGGTCATTTAGTCTCAGCGTTCCTATCTGAAAAATGGTTCCAGTAACAATACCCCCTCCCAGGGCAGTCACAGTTTGGAACATCCTGAGTGTTCAATATATAATTAATAGCATATTAATGGCATTAAGTTGAGTACATAACTCTTTTGTGTGTGTGTATGCGTGTGGGTATATGTGTATGTATGTGTGTGCATGTGTGTATGTATGTGTGTATGTGTATATGCATGTATGTGTGTGTGTATGTATGTATGTGTATATGTATGTGTGTATGTGTATATGCATGTATGTGTATATGCGTGTGTGTGTGTGTGTGTGTATATGTATGTGTATATGTATGTATGTGTATATGTATGTGTGTATGTGTATATGCATGTATGTGTGTGTATGTGTGTATGTGTATATGCATGTATGTGTGTATGTGTGTGTATGTGTATATGCATGTATGTGTGTGTGTATATGTATGTGTGTATGTGTATATGCATGTATGTGTGTGTGTGTATATGTATATGCGTGTGTGTGTGTGTGTGTGTGTGTGTGTGTGTGTGTGTGTGTGTAGGCCAGACGTCAACACTGCATGTCTTCCTCACTCACTCTGCATCTAATTTTTGAAACATTTATTTATTCATGTATTTATTTTGTGTGCTCATGTATGTTTGAGTGTCTGTGTGTGTGTTCAAGTGTGCACATGCCCACACACATGCTTGAGAAATGCTCCTGTGAAAGGATTACTAGTTCCAGCTACTTCAATACTCCATTTTTAGCCATATGAATGTCTGCCTTCCACTATGAATATCGGTGGTCACACCTGCCTCTTACCCCATGTGAGTTATTCTCAGAGGCTCATGGTTGATTTTAGGATGGATTGAAGCTGGGGAAACACAAAGTAAAATTACCTTACAGAATAGTTCCAGTAACATCTTCTGGCGAGCTCGTTCATAAGGGTCATATGGAAACAGCTTCCTTCCTGGGTAGAGGTCATCCAGGTACTCACAAGCGATGACAGATTCATAGATCAGTTGACCCTGGCTGTTCTCCAGGACAGGAATCTGGCCAAAAGGATGTTTTGTAAAGTACCACTCAGGCTTGTTCTTCAGGTTAATGTTGATAACTTCATGCCTTAAGAAAAGAAAAGGAAAAGAAAGACAGACTAGAAATGAGAAGCACACAAGAAGTCACTCACCTCGAAAACAAACAGCTGTAACGTTCATGCTTAGAGCTCTTTGATGTGGGAGTTTTGTGTCAAATATGTGACATGTGTGTTTGTTCTGTAGTGGTGTTGGATGTCTTCCGTGGCTTTTCTTTTCCTGTGATTGACTCTCAGACCAGGCATCATCTCCTAAGAAGCATCTGAGGCAAGATGTGAGCCAGGCTGACTGACTCCATATGTGTTGGCCATATTGCTGAGACATGAAAGCCTAAAGGCACAAACTCAGCAGGACCCAGACAGAGGCAGGAGGGCTGTAAGTCAGAGAACAATCTGGGCTACACAGTGAGGTCCTGTCTCAAAGCCAAAACATTAATAACCACAAAAATGCAAATATGTATTGGTGACCGTTAACAGTTAAGATCACAAACCCCACATCAAGCTGTATGGTCAGGCTGAGATCTTAGTAAGTTCCTTCTCTTCATGCCCAGTGTCCATAACTGTAAGGAAGTAATACCTGTACCCATCCCTTGGTGTCATTTTGATGCTAATACAGTGACCATGTGTGTGTTTGGGAGAGAGCTAGTACATTAATTAGCTTTCAATCACGTTTCAAAACCCGGTTCAAAACCAGGAAGTTACCAGAGGCACAAACACATTTAAAAAGATTAAAGGAAACAAATGGCTATGTTCTTCAAAGCGGGGGTTCCCAACAAATTATTTTACCTCTCCTCCATTGCAAGGAGTGTATATCAATATCTAGGGACACTTTGCTCTTGACCCTGGGAGTGGGGTACCACCCTAATGGATACAGGTGAGGATACTGACAAATAGCCTAGAATGCACGGGACAATCGCCTTTCCTCTCCCCAGCAAATGCCAGTCAGTGGTGCTAAGGCTGAGAGACTCCACTCTGGAAAACTAGTCATGGGTCCAGGACCTGGCTTAGGTGCTAAAATGCTTGCCCAGCTACAGGAAGTCCTGGATTCCACCCCCAGCACCGCACAGCCAGGCATGGTGACACACTGCTGTAATCACAACACTGTGGAGGGCGAGTCAGAGGATCAAAAGTTCAAGGTCATCCTCAGAGACATAGTAAGTTATTTGTGTTAGTTCCTAAGCTACCAGTTTGTCCCCAAATGAGCAGCACATCCTATTGCTCTTATTTTTCTAAAAACAAACAAAAAGGATAAGTAACCATAGGGCTGAATAGATTTGAGCCATCGGGAATAATCTGGAAATGTATGTTATACATATGCATCTACGAAGTGTTAACAACTTTTATTTAAAACATCACCATATTGGTCTATTCATGATAGGAACTGAAAGTCTTAACGCCAACTCCTATGATGGGCTTTCCAAGCCCTGAGCCAGAGGCTGGAGTGATACTTGAGTTATGTGTGTAAGACAGGGTCTTCTGTGGCCAAGGCTGACCTGGAACTTGGTTTGTAAGCAAGAGCATTATTGAACTTCTGATCCTCCCGCCTCAACCTCCCACGTTCTGAGATCATAGGGATGTCCCTCTACACTAGGTTTCATGGGGTCACTGCGCATGTGAACCAGCGCCTCATGCATGCTGTCCTACTAACTCAGCTACACCCCCAACAAACACCTTCGAATACCTACTGAGGGCCAGGCTCCCTTCTAGTACCTCAATGAGGAAGACCGTACCCTCTCAAACTCCTTTTTTGGTTTGGCTTTCATGGGGTGAGGGAGAGGGGGAGGGTGGTAAAAGACGGAACAAATTAGGAAATGATGGATATGGTTAAGTACCATGAAGAAATAGAACAGTTAATCCAAGCCACTATGTTGGTGAAGTTAGGAGGCCTCAGTGAGCTTGTCTGTGCCCTTCCTAAACAAACAGTGGGTGGGTGGGAACAAGTTCATCAACAGCATCGTTCAGTTTACGCTGCCTTGTCTAACAGTTCATGAAAATCTGATTTGGAAAAGAACTCAGCATTTCAGTAAAGCCTACACAAAATCAGCCCTTGGAGTCACTCAGCCTCATAAGAAAGGGATGAGGAGTTCTTCTAGGAACCTGAGACTTGAAATAAGTCCCTGGAAATGAGGGGTGAGCAACGTGCTCAGGGAGCACTGGGGCCTCCCTCGAGTTTCTCACCTGATGCCTTTGGCCTTGAGGACCAGGCGTGCCCTGTGCGAGTAGGGGCAGAATCTCATGCTGTAGATGCGGATCACACCATCGGGGACAGGCCCTGGGGGACTGCTGCCTGCAGGGTGAGGCAGGGGCGAGAAGAGGGAGATCTGGTTAGCCCTGTGGGGAGGGGGTTTGCTCACCTCTCAAGCTCCAGAGGGGACACTTGCACATACAGTTTGTGCAGGGGCTGAGCCGTCCAAGTCGGTCCTCTGTCCTCTGGTTTACAGGCCAAGGCCCACTTACTCCTGTCCAGAGAGGGCAGCCCCGTCATGCCTCTCCCCCAGCCCGAAGGTCCAAGTCATGAATGTTTACCTCTCCCCAAGCTTCTGGTCGCATCCCCAGACATTAGTCTCCATAGAGTCTACGCAGTACCCAAAAGCTCACAGTCGCCGCCTTGTGGCTCTCTGATGCTGCTTGCTCCAGGTACAGGCACAGGGGTGCTGTGCTCCCTCCAGACCCAAATTAGATTTCTCAACAGTCAACAGCACCCTAGTGGGGCAGAGAGGAAGTGAACTGGGACCCCTGCGGCTGGAGCTAGGACACTCTAGCCCTCTCCCAGACACCGCCCCAGACATGGAAGTCCATAAAGGGGCAAGGGAAACAATGCCAAAACCACGCCCCCAAAGTACTTCCTGCTTTAAGACTCAACAGGAAAGCATTCGGCTGATACACACACACACACACACACACACACACACACACACACACACACACACACACACACACACACACACACACACACACACACACACACACACACACACACACACACACACACACACACACACAGACTGGCCATTTAAACCCCAAAGTAGATTTCAAAAGAATCGAATAAAAAATTACCGAGCTAATGTTAACTATCTCTTTCCATCTCACCACACATCTTTGTTTTAAGCAGTTAAGTGAGCATACCTTCTGTATAACTTGTTCGCCTAAAAACGCCGAACTTTCTCGTGGTTTGGCAAATGGGAGGAAAGACTGAGAAAGAGAATGGCAGCTTGAGTTCTGCACCTCTCCCTGACACTATAGGTGTGAGGTTTCTACCCCAGTCCTGGAAAACTGGCAGTGAATAAGAATGAGACTCCTGGAGGCCAAGAACTGGTCCTGACACCCCCTCCAGCCCGACTCCCCCAGAAGGGCTTGAGTTTCCGAGGACAGAGCTCAGCAACACACAGCTCCCACCTATGAGAGGCCGAGGAGGCTGCTGGCCTTGACTCTGACACTGATAAGCTGAGAACCTGGATTCCAGCAGGTGAAAAAAGAATTCCTTTAACCTTCCGGGACTGAGAGGAAGTGGAAATGGTTTGCAAATGCATTTTATAGAATGAAAAGAAGGACAGAAAAGCATTGTGTGTCTCATTTCCCAAACTTCTGTGTCACGTGATCAATACTATCACTCTTTTACAAAAGTGCCCCCAGAAAAATGAAATTATTTGTCCAAAGTGAACAATGAATAGAATCAAAGAATTTTAAAAAATCCAGAGACTTTTAAAAGTCCCGTTGTCCTTGTCTGCAACAGCGAAGAGTATGTCCAGAAAAGTACACGGCACATAATGGCAGTTTCATTGCTGGGTCTAATTTCTCATTAAAATAATAGAGCTTTGTCCCAGGGCTTAGACGATGGAAAGTTCTGGGCCTTTGGAATTCTCCCCTCTCCAGAACGTCTTGGCTATCTTTGAAATTTTCAGAACAAATTTAACCACAGTTTTAGTCAATAATCCAGTGATTCCGTGGGAGTTAAGTTTAAATGCCAACACTTCATCCATAGTTCCTATATAGGAATTGGGGAATGCCTCACCCATAGTTCCTATATAGGAATTAGGAATAGCGGGGGTGATTGGATCAATGCCACCAGAAACCTGGTACTGGTTAAGGCAGACCGGTTCTTGCCTTGCTGACACTTTCACTTTGGCAGATGCAGTCTTAGGCATCTACTTCCCTGGAACTACCTTTAATCAAGGACAAGCTTGATGGTAAAACAGAAACAAGGAACATAACCATGCTGTGTTAAGGAGAGGTAAGGAGATGGCTTCTGAGCAGACAAATGTACCTCTTGTTAGGTCTCAAACTCAGGACAAAGGACTGAGGTACCCATCAGCATACTAAAGAGGATGCTGGCCACCAGGTTTCCCAGCATCCCTCAGTCCCTACTCCTTGCAGGGTCCTCCTGGCTGGCATACCCTGCCCCCTACCAGCCTGGGGACCCTCCTCTCCTCTTCCTCCTCTCCCCACATGGCCCAGCTCAGTCTTCCAGTTATGTCCACTCTGGGCTCTCCCAGATGTTTCTGCCTCCGCTGTGTTCTTCTTTGCATCTATAATAAAAACCTCAACCCCCAAGGAGCTTTCCTGTCCTCCTTTTCCTTTCTTTTTCATTCATCTTTCACATAAATAAAGCAGGCAACTGAGGAAAACACACCGGATTCTAAAAGGGAAGGCATAAGAGAAAGGCAGAATTCCCAAATCAAAATGAATCATGACTGACCTGTTTGGTGCTTTATTCGTTCATTTAACCCTTAACCTGGCCCCGTAAGTGTCCCACAGGACTTATTATCCAGTTCAAAAGATGAGTGAGGGCTAACAAGATTAAACACTTGTTAAATGTAAGAGAGGGGGAGAATTTTAACTCTGAGGACATCATTCTTATCCAGTAGCTTAGTCAGTACTAGATGCAATGCAATGGACAGTTGGAAACTTCTCCCCATGGAGTGAATATTGAAGAATTTCAGGTCTCATCTGCTCAATTCTTATAATGAATGGGCAGAGCTGTGCACCAATAAAACCTTACTTATGGTCACTGAGCTTGATATATGTTTTAATAGCCTACAACTTTTGGAGCTGCTTTAGGTTCGCAGCACTATAAAGCGGCTCATATCCTCACCACCTCCACAGGCAGCCTCCTATCGTATTAACATTCCAATCAGAGTGGTACATTTGTTACAATAGATGTACATATATTGACACATCCAAATCCACAATTCACAAACCATTCACCATGGCTGACTTTTGTTATGATTTCTACATCACAAGTTATGATTTATATTTTGATATTTTCAGCTACTTAAAAACAGTTATTTTGTATTCTTAGAATCCAGCAGTTGGCCCAAGTTAGCCTGAGTGGTTTTAATTTGGTCATTAATAGCTTATGTTGCAATGGCTGAGCTAAAAATGGTCAGAATGGGAATTCCATTTGCAAATTAAGAGATTCTATTATGCCAGAATAGGCTGCATTTTCAATTTTCCCTCATGAGTCTCTCCTGCTAAAGGAAACTAAATCTGAGAGCTGGAAATGTCATGTATTAAGGAAGTTGTGGTACAGTCTGAGACACCATGAGTTTGGGGTGAACAAGGGTTACATAGTGACCCTGTCTCAAAAAAAAAAAAAAAAAAAAAAAGTATGCCTGTGTATGGAAGGTCAAGTTTTGAGATGAAAGTCCATTTAGTGTAGCTACGTCAGAGATGGGAAGCAGTGCAATGTCAGGATTCTCAAAAAGGACCCCAGAGCCACATGGGCTGTGTGGCCTGCTTCCTGGCACTTGGCCAAAACCCAGAGCCTCTCAGACCTCCACCTCCCTTATTTAAGAAGACAACCTTAGTGGTTTATACATGGTGGTTCTGAGTATAGAATGAAGTCATGCAGACCTCATCAGTAGAGTTTTAGCTCAGTGTACCTCAAAATTAAAGAGAAATACTAACGAATAAGCATGCGTTTTAGTAGCAGAGCCTTCGCGTTTTGCATCCATACAGAAGACAGGCGTTGCAAGCGAGCTTTGTGGGGTGTATCAGAGTGAGGGTCTAATTCATAACACTCATTTCGCCAGTTAGCAGTTTAATGCTGGCTGCATGTGTTGAATGCTGCAGGCTACATTTCAGGAATGAGATTTTTAATCTCACCAAAGATCACGACAGTTTTCCTGGAAGGATTTTAATTATGACCTTTAAACTTGCTCTCCACTTCTTAAAGATTCAGAAGGTAACTTCTAAATGTTCTTTTGCAAATGTTCTGTCTGTGCTATTTCATGTTCGCATCTCTATTATATTGACCAACTCAAGCACAAAACAATTATAATAAGGTCACAGAAACCTATTCCAAAAAAATTTCTAGGCATCTGAAATATAATCATATCCACTGTGTGTGTGCATGCATGCATGCGTGCGTGCGTGTGCATGTGTGTGTATTTTGTTTTGTTGGGTTTTTTGACATAGGCTCTCACTATATAACTCTGGCTGTTATGGAACTAACTTGTAGGCCAGGCTGGCCTCAAACTTACAGCAATCCACCTGCCTCTGCCTCCAGAGTGCAGGGATTCAAGGTGTCACCACTATTCCTGGCTTGAGTTAAAAACAAAAAAGTCACTTCAGTCTCTAATACGAGCAGAAACTGCATTCCTCTATATTGAAGGCCACCTAACATGAGAGGGTACACTGCTGGGTGCTCCATTGCTGTTCACTGAATTCCCGGAGTCAGAAGAGGGAACGGGCTCTATCCTCACACCCGCCTTTATTCTGTGTTTGTAGGGAGTGTTCCAGTGAAGCTGACTTTGGGACATATTAAACAAGGTGGCTAAAGCCACTACAGGAGGCCCTTTCCCTTCCACTTAAGGAAAACTGAGTGAAAGTGGCCTTTCTTTAAAGTACTTACTTCTGTTTCCCAATTCCTACTTATCATTACAACATGGAGCACATTTATACAACTTCACAATATTTGAATAATCAAAACTAAAATTTCAAGATTCTGACATAAAATTTGCAAACTCAAGCAAAAACATCAACAGTTCCTGCTAAGAATGTGACCAAAAAAGTGGATCTGAATCAAGCTGTTCCCCAGGATCCACCCAGAATTACTTCCAGGGCCCTCTTTGAACACCAAATTCCATGGGTACTCAAAACCTTTATCAAAAACGATGCAGAGCTTGCAAGTAACCTAACCACATCTATCCATATCCATCAAACCACTTCTGATTACTTGAAATGCCCCCCCCCCATGGTTTCCAAAGGGAAACAGTTGTTACATTGTATTGTTTAGGGATTACTGACATAAGAAGTCTGAACATACTCGATAGATATGCAATCTCTCTTTTCTGTTCTAAGGTAGTCAAATTAGAGAATGTGGAATCCACTGATAAGAATAGATCATATTAGTCTGTCTTGGTTTAATCTCTAAATGTAAGAGCTGTCGAGTAAGAACTTTATAGATGTGTATGCTTTTATCTCAGGAGCACCCTTAACTGACTTTATGAACAAAGGCTACATTTGAATCACTTCATCATTTAATAATTAATTTAATGTTGTTTGCATTGTCTTAGGCAAATTAACAGAATCCTCCTACACACTGATATCCTAATGCCATTATTCTAGTCTGTAATGTAGAGGAACATGTGATTGACAAGTTTTATTTGGGTCAGTATGGTAAACATTTAATACTTACCATGTGTCTGTCATCTAGCAAGTTTTAAACATTAGCTGCTATTATATTTACTATTGAAATGTAGTAGGGAAGACTTCCATGGCCTTCAAAAGACAAGCAGACCCTGAAACGAAATTCCCACCTGTGTCCTCATCAGAAAACATAAATCAATTAATAACGCCAAGCTGAAGGCAAGAACTCTTGTGAAATGGTACTTGCCAGTCTTCACCCAAAACAGAAAATAAAAACAATTAATTTTGATTCCAAGTATCTGGCTTAAAGACCCCTTCTTTGTTCTTAGAGTATTGACTTATTTATTTAGGGTTTGGTTTTTCCGGACAGTTTCTCTGTGTAGCCCAGGCTTTTCTGGTACTCACTCTGTAGACCAAACTGGGCTCGAATTTACAAGAGTGCTGGGATTAAAGGCGTACACGCCATTATGGCCTTCTCTCTTTCTCTCTCTCTCTCTCTCTCTCTCTCTCTCTCTCTCTCTCTCTCTCTCTCTCTCTCTCTCTCTCTCTCTCTCTCTCACTCTCACTCTCTCTCACTCTCCTCTCTCTCTCCCTCTCTCCCCTATTTCTACGTTCTAAGTTCTCTCTTCCCCTCCCCTCTTATTTTTGTGGCAATTTAAGAAAATGAAACATCAGCTATGGTTAAAAATATTCGGGCTTTCTTTAGAAAAGAAGGTGCAAATTTTAAAGTTGGCGATCCTGACAGCCCAAACTTGACAAGTTCCCAAAGTTGACAATCAAAGCCCTCTTCCCTTGCACCAGCACGCGGGCCAGCCCCAGGACTGGGTAACCTGGAGACAGAGTGAAGGACCCGCCCCTTCTCCCACGGCCCTGCTCCTCAATTGGCCGCCGAGCCCTGCGCTCCAGCCAATACCTGACGCGTTTGGGAGAGCGAGCCAATAGGCGGCCGCGTTGTAGCTGCTCGCTAGAGAAATGGCGCTCCGGCCTGATATCTACGGCTCCCGAAAGAGGAGGACGGGTAGCCGACCGCGCACCTCAGCGTCTGGTCTCCTCACATCCTCCCGGAAGGCTGCGAGCAGCCGCCGGGGTCTGGCCAGTGGTCTGCGGCACAGGGGCCCTCCCGGAGCCAGGACGCCAGCTGTCCCGTTTGTGAAGTCACCCGGCTCCCCAGGGTGCGGCCGCATCGCCCAGCGACGGGTGGTGGGTATGATGATGGCAACCCTGAAAACACGTCAGAAAACCAGCCGGTCGGGGTGGGTCTCCTGGCGTGTTTTCCAGATCCTAATGCCATCCATCACCTTAGAGCCTCACTTAGTCTCAGAACCAGCCACAAATGAAATGAGGCTCGCAGACTTCCTTCTCGCAGGGGGCTGATGTGATAAGAGCAGGGAGATTAACCTTTCTCAGTGGAGATACGGCACCCTTTACTTATCCAGTTTTACATACTGAACTGGCTGATGGGGTCTTGACGGTGTGGCATGAGACAATGGGGTTTAGAAGGAAGGATGCGGAGGGGGTTAGAAATCACTAGACACATGACTTGGTTAAAAGTGTTTGCTGCCCTTCCAGAGGAAGATTCCAGAGGTGACGACGCATGACCTCTGCCAATAACAATTCCGGGGGCTTTAACTCTCTCCTGTCCTCTACCCCCCCACCCCTGCAGGCACCCTTACACAATCCCTCCCTCCCTCCCTTCCTTCCTTTTAATGAAGTTAAAAGCTGGGAGCTCAAGAAGGAGGTGACCCAGTCATGTTGATTTGAGGTTGTTTGGATTCAGCCTTCAATGGTCACAACAAAAATAAGAGACTTGTTGATGGAAAGCAGGAGGAATTCCCAGTTTTTAATTTAGAAATAAGAAATCAAAAACTTGACATTTTCTTGAAATCAGGAGATGTAGGTAAGAAGTCTGGATCAAACTAGAGATGGTGGTCTTCGGGTTTTCATCGAAGAGTGTAAGGACCACTAGAATTGAGTGTTCTGAAATGGAAAAACATACTAGAGAGGCCTGCAGGAGACACAATGAGCCATGAGGTCAAGTCTGTGAGAAATGAGTCAGTGGGAATGCTGGGTAAAGTGAAAGCTTGTTACTCATATCAGTAAAGGGAGACATCATTCACTGAGGACTCCAGCCCTTAGAGCCCACAGTCACAGGCCTCAGGGCTGTCCTGTAGGTAGAGTTTTAGGAAATCACTATAGGTCTTGGCATCAATTAAGTGGGATGATACTATGGGGTCTTTCTTCATGGCAGCCATCCAGCCCTTAAGTTTTGGAGTGTGGGCTACACACCTGTGGGAAGATGAGTGAATTAGATGGGCATCCAGAGTATCAAATTACACTGCCGTCATCCCCTTAACATTTAAAATGCATTTTTAAGACATTTCAAATGCAAGCAGTAGACTTTGGATCTGAGTACTGTCATCAAGGCCTTTGACAGAAGCAGCAGCCTGGGTGAGAGTGAGTGACTCAGTAGAACTTCAAACTGAGATTGACAGACAACTAGGTGGTAAATACCGATTTTCTATATGAAATGGGAGCTGTAACTTCCCATTACAGACTTCTAAGTAAGCTCATGTGGCCAACCATCAAACCCAAAGCAGGAATATCGAAGGTAATGTGGAAATCTTACAAGTAGGTGGAAAGTAAGTGGTCTACCCTTTAAAAAGTCTACACCCTGTGGACTCTTAACCAGCAGAGAGTAAATTTTAAAAGGTTCCAGTCATGTCACAGAGAGGTGTCTCCTGATGCCTGGGGCTGAGCCTGAGTATGAATACCATAACCCGACAGGTTCTGCACAGCCAGGGCTCTCCTCTCTGTTGGTTCTCATTCATGCCAGTGATGTTAAATACTTGCCTGAGCTCAGAAAACTTCCTAAATTACACCATTTTTATAATATTTACAACTCTCATCCTAAATTATACATAAAATATTCAAATGTCTTACTCATTGAGCTCCAGCACTTCCAGCCGCTGAAACCAAGGCCACATAAGGTAATCAGTCATAGAGACAGCATCCCCAACAAAGATGTCTGAGTTATAATTAGTAATATCCTGGATGGTAAAGAAGGAAAAACAAGTTTATTGTGCAGCTGGAAAAAAAACATCCTCAAAAACAGAGGCAAATTAGGTAGAGCACGTCTGTCCCTTTTACCCTGATATAGTCAAGTTAGGCTTTTATATGATAAAAAGCCTTCTGTAACCCAGCATTCTAATTGGAAATCTGGGAGATAGTACATCAGTGGTTTCCACTTTCCAGATGCTACAACCCTTTAATACAGTTCGTCATGTTGTGGTGACTCCCAACCATAAAGTTATTTCATTGCTACTTCATAGCTCTAATGTTGCTACTGTTATGAATCTTAATGTAAACATCCGTGTTTTCCGATGGTCTTAGGCGAACCTTGTGAAAGGGTTGTTCAGCTGCCAAGGGGTGGGTAGTCACAACTCACGGGTTGAGAACCACTGTAGCATACAGGTATGTTGGGAACATAAAGGTCCTTGTGCTCACAGACAGTGCTAGGGAAACAGGCAGGGTTGTCTTTTCAAAGGAAGAGATCTACAACCTGTTCTGTCCAGAAGCTAGGAGTGGAGGTGTCTATAATAGCCTAGGTAGCCCTGCTGCTATCTGTAAGGCCAAGCCATACATGGCTCCCCAAAAGCTCCCACAACTATAACTGGAAGTGACTAATAGTCTAGCTGACCTTTGTAACCTCTACGCTATCTGTATGACCAACACCATACCAGATCCTCCCCTAGGCCTATAAGATAACACATGTCGCCCATCTCTGCATCCCATCTGGTGGACATGCACTTTGAGAAGAGTTTGCATGTAACTGAGCGTCTGTGCACAGAGGCTTGCACTGTACTTAAATATGACTAAAATAAACTGCCTGGTGTCAGACCTAGCAATTTGAACCAGCACCGGCTCCTGAGTCATGCTGAACCACATTTCCTGCTTGTCTCACCTGGACTGTTACTCTGCCAGCCCTGTGGTCCCAGAGAGCCCCACACTGATGTATCCTGCAGCACTGTTTGGAATCAAGCTACTTGTCCAGAGAACAGTGAAGAATTTTTATTACTATCAAACCTTACAACACTGGACAGCCAATAGGAAGGAACTATACCTAGAGTAGAATATATTAAAACACTAAAACAGAATATAAGAAGCAATTAAAACATGCACATTATATGGCCTCATTTTTATATAAAGTATGTGACAACCCAAACTTCATATTTGGTTCTTAGCTGGTACCATGATGTTTTCATTTTTTTTAAAAGTTGTCAAGTTGTACTTTTATGCATTGGGCACTTCTCTGAATGTAGATTTTTTTGTTGTTGTTGTTAAAACATACTTAAAGTATCCTAGAAATAGAACTACGTATTAAACAGGTGGCAATTGTTTGAATAACACTAAATTCAAATGGGAAGTTTCTGAAGTTATAAAGGTGAGTTGATACTAGGTTCACCAAAGAGGGAAATGGAGAATATTGGTTAATTAAACCTCTCCCTGATGGAGGAAGGTAGGGTGCATATGACTAAAATTCAGTATCTTCATATATGACACAGGCAAAGAATTTTTGAAGACCAGAACCAATTTGCCCATTATAAATGACCTCCATAATCTTCCTCAGGGGCCATGTAATGTTACACAGTGTGAATGAACTGCTCATGTCTGGTTATTTGTCTTCTCGCCACTAAAATAAGAACCTGAAGAAAGTGGACTGCATCTTTCCAACTTCCATGCTGTCCCACAGAAAACCATCAACTAGCAAAACCAGATTTAAGAGCAAATATAAAACCCCACAATTAATTCAGTAAAGAAACTGAACTACACAGCACAGCAGGCACAAATTAAAATGCCCTGTTAAATTGTTTTAGGGGTTAGGAAAATAAGGAAAGTTATCCAACCCATTTTAGAAGATTAGAATATTCATGATACCAGACCCAAATAAAGATATCAGAATAGTGAATTGTGGGTCAAAGCCATGACCACATAGAGAGAAACCCTTTATTAACTGAATAATCTGTGACACATAAAAGTCCACTGAGCAAGACTGATGGGAGATGTCATTCTGTATATGTTTCTCATACTGGTTAATGAATAAAGCACTGTTGGCCAATAGGAAAGGAAGATAGGAGGGACTAGGAGACAAGGAGGAAAGAGGAAGTAGTAAAGGGAGTCAGGATGGAGAGCCTGGAGAGAACAGAACCGCCATTCCTCCGCTCTTGGTAAGACCATGTGGAAATACATAGAAATGGGTTAATAATTAAGACAGAGCTAGCTGATTAGAAACTAGCACCTGTCCAATAGCATTGTATCAAATATAGAGAGTCTCTGTGCATTATTTGGGGCTGGCGGCGTGGCGGCAGGACAAGACTGGCGGCGGGCAGATAAACCATACTCGTTACACAAGACGCCATCCCCTGTAAGAAGATGCAGGGTGCTGTGGAGTTATCCTGGCCTCGCTGCCTTGAGAGACATGAGGCATAGATTTCTGGTTAGAGTCCCCAGATCCTGGGGCATTTACTTCCTCAGGCAGTGAAGTGTTCAGGCTGCTTTGATTTCTCTGTATGTTCCCTCAGAAGTAAAGGAAGCCAATGTGGACATTTCACAGGGTAATTGCTTTTAAGACATTTATCTTGTGTAACCTGCATAGTTTGCAAACATCATTGTATCCTAGCAACTACAGCTCTATCAGTCCCAGCAACTGCCATTATATTCTGTTTCTGATAAAGATATAAAAAGTGTGGTTGATCAATAAAAATTGCCACAGCTTAAGTTTTCCTTAAGTGGTCCCTCCAAGGCCTGGTTCAGTTCCCCGAGGCTGTATCAGGTAACCTTGGCTTGGTAAGTAAGCGTGGCTGCTTACAGACCACAAGTATCAGGTTAAAGGAAATGGGTTCTGTAAACATTTCTACAGATGTAACAGACGCCAGAAACATTCATTACTCACAAGGTTAGAATTAGCAGATTAGAGCGGCAGAGATGGCTCAGAGGTTATGGGCATAGACTTTTCTAGAGAAGTGGAGTTTGCTTCCCAGCACCCATGTCAGGTGGCTCACAATCCAGGGGACCCAACAGGTATGGCCGCACCCACCTGCACTGTCTCCTCACATACACATAACTAAAAGTAATAAAACCAAAGCCTTAAAAACAGCAAATCAGTAACAGGATATATAGTGAAAAAAACTTCAGGGAAAAAATATAAACTCCATGCACAGTGATAAAATGCTAGGATGTATCCCCATCTGTGCATCAAAACCATGAAGAAAGTTTTATCTCAAGGCCCAAAGGACAGCTCTCCCCAGAAGGAAAGAAACCCGGGCTCCCTCGCGTGCCTGCATCCCTGGCAGACTTCATAGTGGGAAATGTTGTATTACATCAGCAGCAGGGAAAAGCAATACAGTGGCATCTGTTACCTGATTACAGCTACTACTCTGAATACATGAACACAGGCTGAAGGCGAGAATGGAAAGTGGGAACAAGCGACTCATTGTGGAAATCTCGGCAATTCTTTTCTCATTGTCATTTATAAATGCTGATGTACTAAATACCTCAAGTCTCTGAGCCATGTGTGGTCATGCATGCCTGTAACGCTAGCACGCTTGTAGCTGAGGTAGGTGGATCATGAGTTCAAGGCCAGTATGGGCTGCACAGCGGGGTTTGAGGCTAGCGCCTGGGATGCAATGGCACCTGTCTCAAAATACTAAATACAAATAAAGACAAGTCATGATGGTGCTTTTGGGTGTTTTGACATATCAGGAGAATAGCTTACAGAAATCTGTTGTGATTTGTTTTTATTTGGTGCTATTTCTAATTGTCAGTGATTTGGAGAGGGAGCTTATGAAGGGAGGAGGGAAAGAAAAGAAATGGAGATGGAGATTATCATCTGTTGTGGTGAAAACTAAGAGAGTGAGTACCTCCTCTAGCATGCGGAATTCCTTCCTCAGTTCTTCTATTATGTCAGGACGGTCTTCCTTCTTCCTAATGAACCTTGCAACCAAAGGTGGCACCTGGTCAGAAAATGATATTTTTAGTTTATCAGTGGGAGGCCATTGCACACCCCCCAGTGCACGCATACACACACACACACACACACACACACACACACACACAAAGCTCTCACAGCCCTGGCCCTCCTCCGCAGTGCTATAGAGACAAGTGTGGACCAAGTCTCAGTGTTTACAGAAACCATAGCCTGATCTTACAGACCTTGTTGTAGACTAGGATTTGAGGTTGTGCAGATTTCGTAATTTGCAGATAACTGTTACGAGCACTTTCCCCACAGCCTGCTCACACAGCCACGTCAGTCCCAAAATAACACACAGAGACACTGTATTAATTATGAAACTGTTGGCTGTCACTAGCGTTTCTTATTGGATAGTACTGTCTAACTATTAACCCATAATCACTAATAAATGAATTTCTACTTGAGCGTATCTTACTGAGAACACCAGACTCAAATCCTCTCTTCCTGAGATCACAAAACTCTATTACATTTCTCAGAATCCTCCACCTCTCCTAGTCCCACCTATCTTGCTTTCCTATTTACCAATAGTGCTTTATTCATTAACCAATAAGAGAAACATATCTACAGAATGACATCTCCCATCAGATAATGGAACCCACTTTGGCAGATTTGAGCCTGAAATTTCATAAATAGACACCAAGTGCCCTAGAACTGGACAAATAGGCCCGGAAGTATGGGAAAGTTTGTAACACCATATTGAGAAATAGACTAACCAAGAGGTACCAGGTGCTGCCAGTGCTTATGAACACTAATGGGAATTTGTACTGGTGCACACTGGACAACTAGAAATGCCACTGCTCCCTTAGGATTTAATCTCGCAGCCACCTCCACCCCATAACCAGAAGCTCTGCCACCTGTTTTGCTGGCACCAGCCATCCACAGCAGGCCTGTTCCTTCACACTGCCCTTGTCTCAGTTGAAGACTGCTGGGTGTATCTAACAGAAAAGGCCCAGGCCACAGGCCATGGCCACAGGCCATGGCCCCAAGCTGCAAAGGGAGCTGGGGACAAGCAGCTTTCTGAGTTCACCTTAGCACTGCAAAAGACTGTCCAAAGGGGGCTTGATTTCCGAAGACTTGGCAGGTATGCTGTTCAACCTGTTAATGAGTGGCTGGAGCTGTGAGTTTGATGCGTAGCTCTTCACAATGAAGAAAGCCCACCCAGAGTCTCATGAAATCCCATCCATGTTGGTCATCTCTGCTAATACTAATTTGAATTAATCCGATCTGATGATAAATAAGATGCAAACACCTTCTTCCCCAGAAACCCTGACACTACTAAAGGCTGGCCATGACAATTAAGAGCTAACACTGGGCAGGTACCATGTATCAGTCAGCTTTGGGCACTTCCTGTTTGCACATGACCTAACACACTAGAGGTAAAACAAGAAACCCGCCACAAAGCACACCCAGGCACAAACTGATGAGTGATGGATGCACAGCCACTCCTCCTCACATTCACATAGCAACAAACGCAAGAAGGCAGGCAGTTATGAACACAGAGGGCCAACAGCCATGGTGCGGAAAAGCTTATCCAGAACAGAGCTGGGGTCCTGAGCAGCCTGGACACGTTTCGAGAAGGCAGCAGGTCCAAGCATATACATCAAAGCTGCCTAAACCACGTAAAAGAAGGGAGAAGACTCCCAGCAAAGGTTGAGAGAGAAGTGGGCACGTGTGGAAAGATTGGGAATAAAACCATCAGGGGTGGAGTAGGAGAAAGCCAAGGCGGAAAGACAAGCAGAGAGCCGAGCATGAGGGCCAGAGGGCACAGCAATGGAGTATAGTTCCCTGCCCATGTCCCCATCCCCTGAACCATCACAAAGGCACTGCTGGTTTAGCTTAAACACGAGCTGCAATTTCTTACACGCACCTTGGAGAATGACTCTAAGATCATCTTCTGGCACGCTTTCTCATAAGGGTCATCTGGGAACAACTTCTTCCCTGGGTACGCCTCATCCAGGTACTCACAAATGATGGCAGACCCGGAGATCAAGCGACCCTTACTGTCCTCCAGAACGGGCACCAGCCCAGCCGGATTCTTCTTGAAGAACCACTCGGGCTTGCTTTTCAGGTTGATATTGATGATTTCATGCCTGAAAGACACAGGACTATTGACAAGAGCAAGGCCCATTCTGTTTTCCTGAGACAGTGTTGATCGGTTCTCCCGTCTAGCCCTGCCGAATTTTCAGTTTAAGAACTTGGTTCCAAGGCCCTCAGCAAGTGAATCAGACAACACTCTCTTTTGTGTTTGACTTACTTCACTTCAGGTCCCCAGGATTCATCTTTGTCACATACTGTGACTTTCCTTCTATTTAAAGGTGAGACACTGGGTGGTGGTGGCACATGCCTTTAATCCCAGCAGAGGCAGGTGGATCTCTGTGAGTTGGAGACCATCCTGGTCTACAGATCGAGTCCCAGGACAGGCTCCAAAGCTAGAGAGAAACCTGGGGGAGTGGGGGGGGGGGGGAGGTTGAGACTTCTGGACCCTGACAGGAGGCAACTTACTGGGTTGTCTCATACCCACTCAGGATGTTAGAATCAGGCTGATAAAAACTCACTTTCATTTTGATTCAGTTCAAAATGAGTTGAATTGATGCAACAATTCATTTTGCTAATATGAATTTTAAAATCCTTACAATGGTAAAGTGAATCAGATCAAGTCCACATCTATTGATATGTTTTCTTTAAAAGGGGGTTCTAAAGGGCTGGAGAGATCGCTCAGCCGTTCAAGGCTAGGCTCACAACAAAAAAGGACTCTAAGAAGTATGGTGCTGGAAAGAGGGCCCATGGTTAAGAAGGACTGAGTTCAGTTCCCAGAACCCACGTCAGGGTTTACAACTATCTGAACCCCAGTCCTGGGATCCAATGCCATCTTTTACTGCAAGCACATGGTACACATAAACTCATACACACACACACACACACACACACACACACACACACACACAAGCAAAATGATTTTTAAAGAATTAATAAAGAAGCCAGGCCAAATCCAATTGTAATTATACAAGATGCGCCTGTATTTTGCAAAGACTGTAAGAGAAAGTGTTATAACTCTTACAGCAAACCCTGCAAACTCAAATCTAAAATACTGTCCAGTAGGACCGATCACTCAAAAGTAAGACATCCCAAACCCCCCATTTCCTGTGTCCTCCCCTGCAACAGACAGATTTAGTCCATGGACCTAACAAGGTATCCTTCACAAAGACAAATAACCAGTGTGACCCGAACCCTGAAGTACGCTCCTGCATTAGTGCGTGCATGCGTGTAAAAAGGTGTGTGTGTGTGTATCTTAAAAGGTTCTTGTACTGAATAATGAACGTACAGACCAGCTACTACAGGGAAAACAAAACCCTCTGCCTTACAATACTGTTCATCTCTGAGAATCATACTTTGAGAATGAACGGTAGGCCCTAGGCTTTAAGGACCAGAAACACACATTTTTGAGCCAGCAGTGGGCATACCTGCACCCACGGGATGAAGGGTGCTCTTTACAGAGCACATGCAACAGATATGGCCTGTGTAAGATGTTACTGCTCCACGAAAAGCTTGCTGTGAACACAGTACAAATGTTACATGTACTACCTGAAGGTGCCACCTCCCCTAATAAGAGCCTCCCTCCACCCTGTTATGGTAAAATCATTTCAACTTTGCTTTAGAAAAAGCTGCTGGTGTGAAGTGTGCTTCTTTCTGCCCCTCTGGGCAGCAGCAGGAAACACATAAGCTGTCATATCCCTGAGTCCAGCTGTGCCCTGAGTTTGGGCTTTCCCATGGCATGAGGACAATAGACACCTTTTACTTTTCAATTCGGTTTGAGTTTCTTAGTGATAACAGAAATTCTGTGTAATGCAGAAAAATTTGCTCTAGCTATAAATACTAAGGAAATAGTTTCTTACATGTTCACGATCACAATCTGGTCTGAATGAAATGAAAGTTGTTATGAAGTATAGTTAATTTTAATATATCGCTTTAGGATAGCCAATTCTCCCCCATGAACTAAAATTATTTTACTAACTTTAACTGTATACATGAATATTTTCTTAAGAGTGGGCTTCCAAACAGCAGGGTTTTTTTTTTTTTTCTCAGAAAAAAAGCCAAGTTGTAGACAACCTGTAGGTCAATGACTAATAGTCTCAGCAACAAGGTTTTGCAAAGAGATTTTAGAACCACTTTCCCTTTTATTTTGCAAGAGCCCGACCCACACCTGGCTGTGCACAAGAAAGTTGACTCAGAACTTTGTTTGCTGGGTCAAATTCTCTGACCTTTCTTTCCCTCTAGGTGAAAGCGAAGCTCGGTAGACAGACCAAGAATCCAGGGACCAGAGCTGAGACACCTCCGTCACTAATTTTACAGAAGAAACAGCTTTTCCAAGACAGGGAATATTTAAACAGGCTGCCCTAGCCCCTGGAGTCCGCGACAATTCTCCCCTTGAAAAGAGGGTGTGGAACAAAAGGCTACAATTCTCCCCTTGAAAAGAGGGTGTCCTACAAAAGGCTGAGACTATTTCCCCTAAACACAAAACCAACGCTCCGAGGGTCTGGTTCTGGGTAGCCCTCGTTCTCACCGGATTCCCTTGGCCTTCAGGACCATCAGCACCCTCTGAGCAAAGGGGCAGAACCTCATGCTGTAGATGCGGATCAGGCCCTCCGGGACCGGACCGGGAGGCGAGCTTCCTGCAGGAGAGAGGAGGAGTTCAGGGCCCAGATCGCAGGGAGATCCGGGACAACTCCGGTTCCCGGAGCCAGCCCGCAGCGGGCAGACTCACCTTTTCCCAGGCTCTTGGAGGATGCCCCGGACATGGTTGATCTGGCAAGCTGAGAGGCACGAGAGTTCCGCTGGAGTTTGCGGGAGACTCAGGAAGCACATGGCCTCCCTTCACATTTAAGTGCCTGAGCTCGGCCCCGCCCAGACCGCGCCCTCTAGCCCGGAGCTGTCCCCGCCCATACACAGATCAGTGCTGAAATTGAGAAGTCTTTGGACCCTTGTGTCACGTGCTGGTCACCTGGAGATTCGCCAAAGCTGAGATGCTCAGAGTCACCCCATCCCTCCTATCCTGTCTGCCTTCACACAGTACTCTGGCCTGTGTACCTTCATATTCCCTGGCCACCAAGACATGCCCTGGTAATCCACATGGTACCTACCTCTGGGCTGCAACTCTTGGTGCTAAGAACCCTTGGTCCCTACTCCCAGCTCTAGCTCTGCCCCAAGATTCCAAGACTTAGGTCTTGTGGCCTGTTCTCAACATTCCAGAGGGGTCACCCCAAAGTAACCTATGACTCCGTGGAGGTGGTCGGTCTAGCTTCCTGGACAGTCTTGTACTAGCTTCCTATGGGCCACCGTCCCCACAGGAGCAATTTTAGCCAGCCGAAAAGAACACACATCTGGATGTTATTAGCCTCAGGATGATGGTTGTACCTTCAAAATTTCACCCATAAAACATTGTTTGGAAGCCCTAGAAAGAGCACTTAAGCTGACTTAAGCACAGTGGGCTGAGGGAACTTATCTTCCAGGATCTATAGAAAAAACCTGAAGGTCTATGCAAAACAGTGTGTTTTCGCTTAGGACTCCAGAGAACCGGGTGGAGTCTGTGCACCAGGATTCACACAGCCAATGGTGAACGCCAGTAACTCTGGAGCTGTTTATGCTATTTACAGAAGAATAGATCTGGGTTTTGTTTCCGGCTCTATTACTGGAGAAGCGGAGGAGAATGTACTTGGAGCTTGCTCCACTTTTAATCTCGGCTTCTTGTGTTCACTAAAACTACAAAGTACCAAAGTGGCTGAAGCAGCAGATACATTCAAGAGCCCAGCCAGGGAACAGCATCACCCTAGCAGATTCATCTAATGATCCTAGCAGGTGGGGATTCTCCTCTGGCCAGACTAACAAACAGAGAGCAAACATGATCTCTTCAAGAAATAAAGCAGTATACTGTCACAGCAGACACTGCACGTGATTACAGTAGAGATCATGTGTAAGTCCTAGAAAGGAAGAGCGCAGTGTTGGGGAACCTAGGTATCTATCACTGTTGACCACAACTAAAATGTCACAGGACTATATGTTTTGTAGCTGTAAATCGTCATTAATTAACCTGAAATTGATTTGAATTAACTGTATTTCAAGAAGGTGAAAAATTAAAAACCCTGTGACAAGAAATAGTTTTTCACCTAAGTAATGCCCACCTTCACTGTCCAGATGTATCCACTTGATACAGCATCCTTCTGTGACTTTTCAAAAACTTTTAAATATTTAATCCATATGGACAGGGTTAAATTCAGACTGTTGAAGGTCACACTGACTGCCTTACAGTTGATATTTAAATTAAAAAAAAAACCACTTATTTTTCTAAATTAAGAATAACTGAAGTATCTGACTATCAGCTTTTACAACATCCTATTCTAGACATCAGAAAAGGCACCAGACAAGCTCCGGTCATCCCTGGAGAGCTGAAGACACCATGGACCCAGGAACAATAGATCGTTGCAATCAGATGATCTCATGAGGCGATCACCCCACAACAGGAGCCATCATCTTGTGGGAACCAGATTGTCCACACAAGCAATAAAGACTCCTCCAAGCATGTTTTGTGCAAACAGAAACAACCAGTTCATGGCCTGACCAGCACTTTTTAATTGTGCATGCCTCTTACCCACTGCCCAAATTCTTCCTCTAAATCTAAAGCTTTTATTGGTACCCAGAAGGAGGGATAAGACACCTACAGGGCTATTTTGGTTAAAACCTTTTCATACAGTTTTACAACTGCTTTTATTTGTTTTCTTCGGACCAGAGTTGGGCCTCTAACCCAAGGCTCCAGTTGCTAAACTTTATTTTTGATTTAATTACTTCGATGACTGGCCCTCGAAGGGAGAACGGACCTCACCAAAGAGATTCTATGGAAAGATACTGCAGCTAAAAGGTTGGGTGAGTAAGGTAGGAAAGCCAGAGGCTGGTCTACAAAGAAACAAATATTCTCACAGTAAGAAGCTACACAGGAACAAATGGAATATAAATTAGTAAAGGAATTTAAGTGGAGAGGAGAATGAAGTAACTGTGCTTTATTCATGTAAAGGAAATCAATAATCTATAACCCTAGCTACCAACTCAAGGACACCCCCAGAAACATGGTCGAGTCGAGTCATAAAAGCAAGGAACAGTAAGAGATATGTGATGACTACATATTCAAGTTAAGACATACAAAATGAAGCACATTGGTTACTGTGGCGCATGTGTATGTGGTAGAATTTTAAAAAGCAAGGGAAACAGTCTGCAGAGTTTAGTGTAATGCGTCCTTGCAATGGGAACGAGAGTGAGGGAGGGGCACCTGCTCACGTGTGCAAGGATGATTCGAGAATTTTGGCCACATCCGTTCACCTGGAAGACGGCTCTGGGCAGTGGTACTTCTGTGACACAGGATGAACTTGGGGCAGGGAGACAATGCAGACTACTCTGATGTCTCTTGAGAACTTTCTATGAAAGTTTTACTGCCGGTGGCCATGTCAGAGGAGCAATCGAGTCCAGGGGGTCATCCCATCAAGAAGGAACTCTCTGATGAATCTCAGATAGGCAGGGCCCCAAGAGTTTTGCCGCAGCTCGTCTCTTGCTGCCTCTGTGCCTTTACATGTCTGCCTTTGCCATTTTTCTCTGGCATTTGGCATGGTGTGAATGGGGGTGGGAAGATGCCTACTCACCTTAATGTAACGTGATTATCTCTTGAAAATATCCTGCTCCACTGGACATTTTTACCTGTAGATAATTATGAAGAGGATTTCCTCCTAAGCCGTACTGTTTAACTGAAGCAATGATTTTATATAATAATAGTATTAGTTTAAATAGGATTTTGATGGTTGAGGGTCTTTAATATAATAAGGGATTATGACCGAGGTTAGCTTAGACGGAAAACTAATATAGCTAAAAGCAAGACAGGGTGTTGCCCCGCTCCTGATAAAGCAGAGATGCAGAGGGTAAGAGATAAAACAGTAAGTGTCACACAGCTAGAACACGTGAGTTTCTCTTGAGGAACTGTCATGTTCTTTTATTCTTAGTGTTGGGAGACGTGTCGGCAAGTTTCAGAGTGTATCTTAGCTAAAACAAAGCTTTAACTGTGACCCGAGTTTAGGTTAAGAATTTCGTCAATAGCTTTGAGGTGAGAAACCCCAGGAAAACAATCTAAAGCTTTAGAAAGACACACAGTGAAGTGGGGAACTCATTGAGTTCAGGAAACACAAACAAAGCAGGCCAGTTACTACTGGCTGACACACCTTTCTTCGCCAGAACTGATTGGAGATCAAGGAGGATGATTAATTCCTTGTGCCCATTTCTGCCCTCAGCTTCCTGGTATAAAAAACTGTTGACAAATGGGTATACACCCTGGAGATTTAAAGCAGACATGACAGATTATTTTTTCATATATAGAGTTTCTGTTTGTGATTATTTCAAGATTCCTTATAAGATTAACCTTTGAGTTAAGTAATTGATCCTTCTTTGTAACCTCAAAATGCGGCCTGTCAGCACAAGAATTGGCTGAGAAAACTTTTATTGGTTACACTCTGTTGACCTATAACTAGTTTGTTTGGATATGAATGTATGTGGGCTCTTGGGATACTTTGTTTTTCATCTACAATACATAGGATGTTTAATCATGTAAGGGAAATGGGAATTTTTTTAACCTGTATTCATTATAATCATTCACTTGAAAAATAAAATGTATCATATTGTATTTTTATATTGTTGAAATATTTTGCTCAGATATATAAGCTTAAAATGAAAAATACAGAGAGACACACAGAGAGAGAAAACTGAGAAAGACCCTAAGAATGTGTGTTTTCCCTTTTTACCACCAGTCATGGAGAGTTAAGTTTAGCGCCCCCCCCCCAACCCCAGAGAGTTAAGTTTTACTCCCTCAGATAGAAAAATTCACCAGCTCTGTAGGCTCCCCCTCAAACCCTGAGCTGCTGGAGACTGATCCTTACGGCATCAATATTTAATTAGTGTTATTCTGGAAAACATTTTAAGAAAGTCATTTTTTTTTTCCTTTTTGAGACAGTGTCTCTCTACATAGTCCTGTCTATTCTTGAATTCACTATGGAGCTCCATCTGGCTTTGAACTCACAGAGATCCACCTGTCTCTGCCTCCCACATGCTAGAATTAAAGGCCTATGCCACCATGCATGGCTAAGAAACTGATTCTTTAGAATAGAAAATACTTTTCCTCTGTCACTGCCGAGACCCATAATCTACCACCATGGCCAAGGAAGTCATTGCTGCTGGAGGCAATACAGTTGTCACTACTGCTTTTCAAGAGGTGCCGGAGACCACCCTCATCCATGATAGCCTAGCATGTCGTACATGTGAAGCTGCATTGACAAGCACCAAGCACACCTTTGTGTCCTTGCATCCAATAGTGACGAGCCTGATATGTCAGGTTGGTGGGAAACTTTGTGCTGAGCACCAAATCAATGTATGAAGGCTGAAGACAAGTAACTAGGAGAATGTGTAGGCCTCTGTAAAATTGGTGGAGAGAGAAAACCACATTTGTGTAGTGGTTAAGAACTATGGCAAAGAATCTCAGGCCAGGGATGTCAGCAAGGAGTACTTGAAATTCCAGAAATGAATAAATAAATATTTTGGCTCATGGGGAGGAAAGTGAATACAAAACCTATGCTTTGAAGGCAACTGTCTTGTAATATGAATAATGAAAACCCCGAGACTGATATTGGGGTTCAAGCTTCAAGCTGAAGATCAGAAAAGCAAAACAGCCGAGCACTAGTTCTTACCTCTACCTCAGTCTGAAATGGCAATCCCGTTTCTACAAATCCTCATGACAATGCTCTCCACCAAACCCCTTTGCCTCTTCCTTTTATACCTCTCAAAACCTGGGATT